TCTACACAATGCAAGAGATGAGCTGAGCTACACTTCTGGAGCAACGGCGCTCGTGCATATAAGTGAGGGGGCGGGGCTTTAGAGGGAGCACAGAGGGGAGGGGGTGTGTGCAGACGGAGCACTGAGGGAATGCTACTTTTAGAAAATTACCAACCCTACTTCTAAGTTGTCGGTTGAAATACCGGACTGAAAGCTAAGGAAAGTGTTTCATCTGTAGCAGCGCTGCAGGTTGGAACAAGACATATCCATTAGACCTTCATGTTTTCTCAGTAAGGAATCCATATGAGGAATCCCTTTTAATAAGTGTGTGTGTGTGTGTGTGTGTGTGTGTGGCTGCCTGTCAGTTCAGCAGAGGGACGTGCTTGGAAACAGCGTCATTAAGAACTGAAAAGTGAACATGCTAATAAACAGCCGTATGTGCAGCTGAGTGAGACACGCTCGCGTCGCTCTGCAGCGCGTGCTCTTAATTAGGACACTACGGGGGCGTGTGGCCATCTGATAATATCATGTGTCAGTTCAGTGTCTGTGCGAGCGTGTAGCACAGCTTAGCCTGATCACCACAAAGAAAACAAGAGTTTGAACAAGAAGCTGGAGCACAGTAAAAAAAAAACTCCCATGATCCTCTCTGAGCGCCTCGTTCTTTAGATATAGAGGGCTGTAAAGTCCATAAATATTCATTTTCTTTATTAAATAAACCCCTCTAACAACTGGCCACATCCTCTTTACTTCTAACTCCCCTTAAACTGCTTTTTCATGCGTGCGCTCTCACCTCCGCGCTCCTCCTCCTCTAAGCTCTTCATCCTCTGCAAACCTGATTCCATTCACCTTTCTACGCTCCCTCAGTTTTCATCTCCACGTTTTCATATCTCGTCTGAACGTCCTCCTGTGCTGTTCTTCTAATCTAATTCCTGTCTCCACTCCTCATTATATTCATTGTCTACTCTCCTTCCCCCACGCTGCTCTTTCCTGCCCTCTTTGCCCCCCCCCCCTCCTCCCCCTCCTCCCCATTCCTCCCATCGCCCTCGGCGCCCTACTGTCAGTACCACCGATCTCCCCCTCCACTTCTCTTGCTTATTATTCAAAGTCATGCAGCAACCTACGCCAGTGACATCCCATGCAATGCAAAGTCGAATACAAATATTCAGATTTCTGTATGAAAAACATTCAAGAGGCTGGATTTTAATGTTCTGCTTTGTTCTGGGTACAATTCAGCAATTGGACAAGAATCAAACCGGTGAATATGATGATGAATAAGGAGGTTTTTAAGATTTATTTTAAAATTTTTGGCCGTTTTCTGCCTTTAATGGAGAGATAGGACAATGGATAGAGTCAGGGAAAGAAGCCACAGGTCAGATTCAAACCTGGGCCACACGCTCGGAGAACTAAAGCCTCCATACATGGGACGCGCGCACTAACCACTGCGCCACCAGCGTCCATAAGGAGGTTTTTGAGCGACACACCTCACAATAATCAACAGGTGTCCCAGAGTGACATCACTGATGCTGAAAGTCAGGAGACTTCAAACTGAGCGTACAGGGTTTAGCATTAACGCTGTGTGTTTTAGATGCACTTTGGTACAAATGAACATAAAGTGTCTCAGCGGGTTTAATGAAGGAGACTCTAAAGATGGAAGAGCTTTTAAACGGCCATCTGATTGGCTGGTAAAGTTTGTAATGTGTTGGGTTAGACTTCTCTTTAAACCGTCCAGCCTCAGAAAGAACCCTCTTTACTCCTTCCTGTTCTGGGCTTTTCTTCTTCATTGATTGTAGATTTATCTCCCCCCCACCCCATGCATCCCCTCCCCCTCTTTGTAGTAGTTCTGATCCTGCAGACTCGTTGCCTCAGCTGATGTTTCTCTCTACAGCGAGCCGGCTCACAAACCAAGCTGCTCCACCTCCTTTACAACCCCCCCACACACACACAACACGCACACACACACACACACAGCTTACTATTGTGTTATACACAACCGTTTGTCTCCATGGCAACCAGGGGAGAACAGGAAAAGAATAGATGTGGGGGCGTTGATGGTGGTGATGGCAGTTGTGGTTGTGATGGTGGGCGGTGGAATGATAATGAGGGATAAATTGGGACAGAGTTTCCTGTTTTTTTTTTATTTATTTTTTTAATGTTTACCTGGTTTCATTTCCTATGATGTCATCGTTACAAATTAAAGCTAACAAGCTAATTGTTCTTGTACTGTGGACTCTAAACGTGACCTTGATGGACTAAATGAACGCCATGCTTCGTTGAAGAACACTTGATTGAGACCATAAACTCCTTAGGAAAACGTTTCCTGAGGGAATTAATCCAAGTGAGGATAATTGTTCTCATAAATGTTCCACTCAGTCAGAGTCCTCTCCACTGGCTTTAAGAGCGCAGGTCTTGTTTGTTTTCACAGTCTTTAGATTTCACGTGAAGTCCTGAACATCTCTTGACCTTTAAATCCTCAAATCATGACTGATAAAAGACAGAAGAGACTTCAGGAGAGTCTGAGGCTTTATGTTTTTCTCTTCTTTAAATCAGACCGCCTGCTTTTGATTTTTTATGCATTCATTTTAAAGATATTATTTGTATATTTTATGGTGAGTGTCAGCATTTAGTTTTTTTCTTCAGGGTCCATTCTTGTCCATTAGCATAGAAATTTAAAAAATAGAGTCCCTCACAGATCTGGAGTATTATCTCGTGGATGTTCTCGTAACGCATTTTTGTGCTTTTATTCTTAAAGGACCAGTTTGTAACTCTGACCCCTAGTGTTTAAAATGGGTAGTGCAGTCTAAATTCAAAATTCTATACATTATAGCGAGCTGTCTGTCCCTACCATTTCCCTACCATTATATTAGGAGGCGGCCCGCCAGAGCATTCAGGAGCAGAATCTAAAGTTAGAAGGAGGACATACTGTCTGCTGCATTGTTGTCAGAGAAGCCAGCACTTCAACATGTTTCCTGAATGTCTGATCATATAGTAAGGTCACTTTATCATTTCACTCACTATCTCACTGATTGGACCTTTACATTCCAGTGTGTTCAAAAATCATGACATCATGTCTCTGCACAAATAATTCAGCGATGAAGACAAGCTGATTCCGTCTTATTAACCCTTCACATGTAATAACACTCATAATTAGTCGTGCGGTTTTCAGGTCTGATTGATAATGACGTCTTCATCCGTCACACCTCTCTGACGTCTTACTCCATCACATCCAGGAGCTGCTCTGGGATTGGCTCGTGCTCCTGTGGGAGAAAAAAAATATCCTGCCGTAGATCTGTCACACGTCGCTGTGCTCAGTGTGGGAGATCCTCCGAGTGAGTGGGTGGGACAGGGAGACAGCTTTCATCATGGAGGATACGACCCCCCCCTCCTCCGTCCCCGTCACAGGAAACATCACATTTTCTACTCTGAAAAAGAAGAAACACACATGAGAGAGAGAGAGAGAGAGAGAGAGAGAGAGATTACATTTATTGACTCACAGTTTGTTTAAAGTAAGCTTTTCTATCAGGGAAAAGAAAGTCTGGAATATATTGTGTATTAATGCGGTGTGTTGAAAGATTCAAGAGGCTCCTTTCCTGCTGAAAAGATCCTCATTAGAGACTCCCGAGTGGCTTCTTAGGGAATCGCTGCGTTTTTATTTATATGAGGGAAAAGGTCAAGTGTGGAGGGAGGAGAGCGCGGCGATACGACTGAAGCCAGCTCGACTTTAATAACACACACCTGCACTTCATCGCTCGCTCTCTGCCTCCTGAATATTTGTTCTCCAGGAATCGGAGCAGGCATGCTTATATAACACTGCTGGGTTTCCCTTGAGGTGTGTGAGTGTGTGAGTGTGTGTGTGTGTGTGTGTGTGTGTGTGTGTGTGTGTGTGTGTGTGCAGGATATCAGAGGAGAATGAACCTGTGTGTGTGTTTTTTTTACTCTGATGATTCTGACATGAAGCGTGCTGTAAAGTACTGTAACACCCCGAGAGCTCGGAGCCTGCAGCAAACATGACAACATGTACGGTGATCTGGGTCACTGACGGTGTGACAACCCCTCCAGCCCGCTCAGCAGGACGCCTCTCTACTGCCCCCTGGTGGACGCACAGATTCACTTCACGCACTTCAAGTTGGGAAGAATGATGATGACAGTTTAGGGAATTTATCTTTTGAATAAAAACGTCCTGAGAAACAGATTCAGCTAAATATTTAAAAGAGCTCTAAGATACCAGGAAACGATTAAAAAAAAATTCAGGCGACCCCAAGTTTGAGAACGCTTGCTTTAAGAATGAGATATTTGAGACATGATAAATATATCTATACGTTAGGTAAACCCTCACTTATTGACATGCAGGTTTGCCTCTCGCCTTAGTTATTCAAATGAAAGTGAGACTTCAGTCCGCTCACATTTTGTTTGATGCTTTTAATCAGAATTTTTATTTGCTGCTAAAATCTGATTGAACGTCTAATGAACCAGAAAATGGAGGTTATTTAGATTTATTTACAGAATTGAGTAAAAACTGCGCTTGTCAAAACGAATAAATCAGATTTTATATTTTTTATTTTAGTATTTAAAAAACGTGGAATTAAACTTTCCTGAATAATTATATTTAAATAAGTGTGCAACAACTTCTACTCTGTGTCCTTCACATTAACATGTTAACATGTGACTGCACACGTGCACACAGGGAAGGCCAGCGTGTGCGTGTGCGTGTGCGTGTGCGTGTGCGTGTGCGTGTGCGTGTGCGTGTGTGTGTGTGTGTGTGTGTGTGTCGTAGATTATTAGATTCTTGGCTTCAGATGATTAAATCCATGAACACTGGAGGTTCAAACTGAGTGGAAGAAAAAGAGGAGAGAGCTCACATTGATGTGATGAAGTGTCTAAATAATGAGATAATCGACTACGATGCTTCTTTTGTAATAGTTGTCCATCTTTCTTGTTTTAGTTGAAGTCGTTCATTGTTTCATACGCGACCTCTCACCTGACGAGCGTGCAGAGATAAACCTCTCCTCTCGTCCTCTCTGCAGGTGGCCATTATAGCCGGGAACTTTGAGCTCGCCGAACTCATCAAGAACCACAAGGAGAAAGATATAGGTGAGTACCAAACAGACGTCTCCTCCTCCATCTTTCCCCACACCTTTTCCTCTTCAGCCACCCACAGCGGGTTTCCTGAATCTCTCCTCTGGGATACATTTCAAATCCCCCCACGGTTTGATCCTCCTAAATGACCTCCCGCTATAATCCCCTGCGCGGGATTACCAGAGCGTTGCCGAGAGGATGAAAGTTTGTGTTTACACCAGGACGATTAGGCCGGGGAGAAAATGATCAATGCCGCAGCCAGCGGGAGAGCTCGTGTGGTGGGAGCTGATTGGTCGGTTTCCAGAGGAGTGGAGTGATCTATGTGGGGATGATCAGATTGATTTAAAGAGTCTTTTGTTGATTGTTATTGTTTCTAAACTGCGTGATGCTCATGTTTTGTGCATGTTGTGGAGACGTAAGGGGAAACACATTGAAGCCTCAGATTTTTGCACATTTTCTGGTTTTAATTACAAGTCGGTCCAAAAAGATTGAATGTGCTCCAGGAGCAAACAGACTGTAATGGTTGCAACATAATCCTTGGTGGTGAATCTGTCCAATGAATTTATGTTCACTGAAAGTTGCTCTGAAAGTCACACGATCGCACGCTGGCTGTCGACACTGCATCTGTTAAATATTTCATTCTTTACCCTAAAAGTTAATCCGGCCTTGGTCGAGTCATCGTGTAGTCTGTCATATCTGTTGAGGTTCTCAGGGCTGGGTGAAGGCCTGCTCTGACACACTGACCATCGTATCCAACCCGTTTGAATGCAATGAGCGTCCTGTAATATAAAGATTATAAGAGTTACCTCGTCTTCTTCTGTGTGTGAGAAAGAAACGAGAGGGTGGTGTGAAGATGAGAAGATTTGTCTTCTGCACGTTTCTGATCATCGTGCTCTGTGTTGTCCTTTGTTGCTAAGTTGCAGTTGAACACGTTCAGCGTGTGCAGAGACGTGAAGGCAGCAGACTCCGCACGGATTTAAAACCTCAGGGAGGAAAATGTTCAAGTTTAAAGACATGCAAACAATCAAAAAATCATTTACAGCTCCCATGAATATCTAGGCTGCGTACCTTTTGTCTGCCTCCGTTCACAGCTTCAGTGTGGACGGTGACGGTAATAAAAGTCGGCCGTAAACTGAAAGTCAGCAGAAAATAAATCCAGAGCCCGACACAGATGCTGGGTCGCCTGTAGAGGAGTTTGTGTTGCGCTGAGATAACTCTGGGATTACCGAGCCCCCGAGAGAAAATGAGAAAAGATGAACACACAAATGAAAATATAAAAAGAGGACAGAGAAAGATTGAGAAGGCTTCGGGGGGGTGATCGAGGAGAGAGAGAAATCTAATCTAATCTAAAAATGTAATCCTGCAGTTGTCCCGCTCGCTCATGGCTGCAGCCAGCAGCCTCACATGGCAGCGACCTGCTGGAGGCGGACTGGGACACGGTGCTGGGGCAGGATTACCCCCAAACAGCCTGGTTGTAGTCCACATCTGTTGCACACCTCCCTCCTCCTTAGAACAAGTGATGAATGCTGTGTTAGCCAGGATTAGCCACAGGTGAGCAGGCAGCGAGGACTTCTTCGTCTGTCTCTGTTTGGTGCTGTGGATTTTGTGAATTTGAGGGATGGGACGTCTTTACAGCTGGTTTCAGGATAGGCCACCATGGGTTCCTCCTGCTGCAAAGGTGGGTCCTCCCCCCCACCCCTCTGACTGTCCTGATATCCCCTCCGCCTTCTACCCAAGATCCTTCACTCCCCTCACCACCTTAAAGAAGCGTTATGCTAGTTTGCCTTCAAATAAAAGTTGCTCCTGCTGCTTTGTCGGTGGTGTGTGAACTTCAAGGGTGTACACTGACTCCAGTCACAGGATATAAAACATCACTCCCCCTCCTATTGGCTCCAGGTGAATTCTCCTGATTATATCCTGCTGCGTTCTCACATCAGCTCACTCTTTCTGACTTTCTGCAGAATAAATACGAGGAGGCTGGAGGAGAAAGTCCGGGTGCGAGTGTGAACGCCCTGATGGTAGAAGCTTTGTGACCTACCAGGATGTTAATTAATAGACATGAATTGTTGTGAAAGAAAAGGATGGATAGTCCTCCTGACCTGGAAATGCACCAAGGCACAATCAAAAACGAGTTCTTGCATAATCTTCCGGTAAAAACTCGTCCCACTCCTCACAGGAGACGGCTGGTTGTGCAGCCGTGTTGAGTGAGTGAGTGAGTGTGTGTGTGTGTGTGTGTGTGTGTGTGTGTGTGTGTGTGTGTGTGTGTGTGTGTGTGTGTGTGTGTGTGTGTGTGTGTGTGTGTGTGTGTGTGTGTGTGTGTGTGTGTGTGTGTGTGTGTGTGTGTGTGTGTGTGTGTGTGTGTGTGTGTGTGTGTGATGTTGTCCAAACACTACAAGCCCCGGGTGTTTTCTCTCTTGCTTACAGGTGATGTAACAGTTCAGCCTCACAGATCTTCTGTTTTATTGCGTCATTGTTGTTACAGTTCACGGCTGTGTGGAGGATGAAGCCCACCGTCCAGAGCAAACCAGGGTCCTCACCATAGGGTCCTGAGGTGGTCTCACTCACTGAGTGTGTCAGTGGGGTTGTGTTGACTTCATTACCTGTCACTTCTTTTTTTGGAATAAATTCATTTTGAAGAAACGATAAAGGGATTTAGACATCCTGTATTTAAACCATGAAAGACATTTTTTTTTAGGCAGCTATCTCACGGGACGGATTTATACAACTTCATTTTAATCTGGGCTGCTGTGGCTCAATTGTGAGTCAGTCGTCTCCCAACCAAAAGGGTCAGGGGTTCAAGGACACGTGTGACATGTGGCTGTAGGAGAGGGGGATCAAACCAACTGAGCCGACCCGTGGTCAATCTACTCTAGATGGTTTTGATGGCTAATAATCACATCTGCTGTGGAGACAATGCATGTGGATTCTACTTCCAGATCCACACTACTGAGCTCTATTCTAAAACCTTTTACTAATGCAGACCCCCGACCCGCACTACCCTCTAAAACAGACGGACAGACAGAACACCTGAAACCCCATTTAAGAGTTCTTCTGTTTTATTTCATAGTAATTCGTAAGTCTGCTTCTAAAGCAGTTTGAGGGAAACAAAGAGGACACAGTTCAGTGCTGCTCTGCATCCAGGTGTTGTTGAACCCCGACTAAACGTTGTCGATATCATGCTGCACAAGGAATGAATCGACGGAAAATAGACTCAATTAAACGAGACAATAGATTCATCCAGTCGTGCATGAACATAGTGTAAGCTTCCTTGTTAGTGGACTCAACTCTCAAGCTCACTTTGCAAGAATGAAAGAAATGGATCAGATTACAGATACTCACAATCATTCCCATCAACATTTAAGATACTGTTTGGCATTTCCGCAGCACACCACGTCTGCCCACAGGGTGAGAAAATGTTGTTTTCCATCCGCAGAAGGAGCACAGAATACTCCGACTGTCTGACCATCTGACCCGAGAGCACGTCAGACCATCGGACTACAGTGGAGACTACACTGTCGGTGGTTGGTTGAGGTTAAAAGCAGCAGTCCTGCAGCATGTTATCATCTTAACTTGCTGATTAGGAGTCATTCTGAGACTCTAAAATCAATCAACTGGTTATTCCGTCTGAGTTTACTCTCACTCAGAGGCGGAGATAACGAATCGAATGAAAGTTTAAAGTGCTCGCTGTACGGTGAATTATTACGAGTGGAGCATTCAGCGGGACGCTGATTTCTTAATGAACTCAGAGACAAAGGTGGACGGAGCTGTGGAGTAGGACGCGATGTGATGGGTGGAGGAGAGAGGAAGGCTTTGCAAAGAACAATGACTTCCATTTACATATGGAAAGACGTCCTTCATGCACTCATGATCTTAAATTGGACCACACTTCCATCCTCTCCGTCTTTTACCTGCTCCACTTTTCAGAAAATGTGTGCTCAAACAGGCCGTTTGGAGATTTTCCCTTCATGACATCACAAAGGGCAGTAGCCCCTCCCCCAGGTGGGTGACACTCCCACAGCTAGGTGTTTGTTCTGCCATCTCACCGTAAACAGTAGGACATGGAGCGAGAAAGCCCAAGACACCCAAGTCCTTCCAGCGAGGGGGCGTGGTCACAGCTCATTTGCATATTTAAAGCTGCAGACACAGAAACAGCTTGTTCTGAGCAGGGCTGAAATAGAGGGGTTTATAGACATGATCAAATACAGGATCAGAGTGGATTTAGAACAAGACACTTCACAGACAAGTTTTGAGGAGCTCTGAGACTTATTTACACTGGTTGAAGAGGAGGAGAATATGTGACCTTTAAAGTTTTTTAAAGTCTTCTTGTGTATGGAAGACATACACTGTTCCTAGTTGATGTTTGACATTTACTAAATAACACGACACAGTATGGACTTCCAGCACAGAAATCTCCATAAATAAACCGTGCGGTTTCTAAATACAAACTGTGATTAGCAGCAGTGAAGACAATAAAACAAACTCTGCAGCTGAACAATGGACACAAAAACAACATTTAAACAACTCATTCAGCACAGTGTGTTCAGTCCAAAACATGCCACACAAAAGTTATTTATATCTACTTTTTTGACAAATGGCAATCACTAAGAAACGAGTCAAAACCACACACACACACACACACACACACACACACACACACAGTATAATGAATGGGAGTATTGTGCGGATGTCTGTAGCAGATATGTGTTGTATTTGTTCTCTCCATAAACCAGTAAGCCTGTGTAAGAATGATTGACAGCTGGGCGTATTACACCCGCCCGCTGCAGGAGTGTGATAATCCCGCAGGGAGAATGGATTGGCCAAACGCACGCTTTCAAAGTAACACGCGCGCTAAACACACAAACATGCATGTGACACGTTCACACTCGGCCCTGAAACATTTCACACTCAGTCTGCTGCAGGATTTACAGTTTTCATTTTTACTCTTTGCTTTTCTGTTCTATCCTAAAGCTGGAGTCCGCTCCAAAGTGCAGCTGAACATGAGCGGTCGATCAGCC